TGCTATGGCAATTATTAAAAAGTATGGTACACCAGATCTTTTTATAACTTTTACTTGCAACCCAAAATGGCATGAAATAACAGAAAATTTATATCCGGGTCAGAATGCGAATGATAGACTTGATTTGGTTACTCAAGTATTTAAACTCAAGTTAAATAACCTCCTCAATGATATATTCAAACATGGTGTATTAGGCAAAGTTGTAACGCATGTTCAGGTTATTGAGTTTCAAAAGCGTGGTTTGCCGCATACCCACATTTTACATCACTTAGCAAATGATGATAAACTTGAAACATCACAGGATATCAATAATTTGATTTGTGCAGAAATTCTAGATCCGATAGTTAATTGTGAACTTTATGATATTATCAAAACTTGCATGATTCACAGCCCATGTGGGATACTGAATCCAAATTCTCCCTGCATGAAAGATGGGGTGTGCAGCAAAAATTATCCTAAAGATTTTAATGCCAACACAGTAGCTGTTCACAATGGTTATCCGCGCTATAGGCGTCGTGATAATGGGTTGGTTATCAATATTAAAGGTAACAATGTAGATAACCGTTGGGTGGTACCTTATAATCCTTGGTTATCAAAGAAATATCAAGCCCACATTAATTTTGAAGCTTGCATGTCTGTAAACGCTGTTAAATATTTGTACAAATACATATACAAAGGGCATGATTGTGCGAATGTTTTGATAAATGAACAGGTTAATCACGAGGAAATAAACACTTTCTTAGATTGTCGATATGTTAGTGCACCTTAGGCACTGTGGCGAATATTTGAGTATCCCATAAGTCATATGTCACACACTATTATCCATCTTAAGGTTCATCTTCCTGAGAATCAGATTGTGTATTTTAGAGAAGGAGAAGAACAAGTGGCGTTAGATCGTGCTGCTCAACGTGATACACACCTTACGGCCTGGTTTAAATTGAATTCTGAAAATGAAGGAGCCCATCCCTACTCATATGTTGACATTCCATATCACTTTGTATTTGATGATAAACATTGTAAATGGAATTAAGTCAGTGTTTTTGCTATTAGATAATTGTTAATAGGAATATGTTTATTTAAACTGCCACTGGAATTTTAAAAAATCAAGTTCTTTAGCTTTTTTTTATACTTTCTTTTAGGGGAGTTGGAACAAAAACTAAGTATAAATTATGATTAGTTTAGTTTAATAAATAAAGCATTAATATTTAGAAGATTTAAAATTTACTTTAGTTTATAGTTTTGGTTTAGTTTATAGTTTTGTTTATAGCTTTAGTTATTTTTTTCTTACTTTAGACAACTTTATGGATGAAATGAGGGGGATGGGTAAAACAATTATTTAGATATGTATATATTTATATGTTAACATTATTTTATCGATTATTATATATTTAAGTATATTTGTCTTTAGTGTCTGGTGGAGGTATAGCTGGTAGGGCTGTGTTTTATACTTTATATGTTTTGTATGGAGAAATATGTGCAATAGGTGGAAAAATTAATTAATAATTATGACACTTTTGAACTAATTTTTTTTTTTTTTAATTGCAAATGTATAATTTTTATTATATTCTTCTATTTGTAACTTTAGATTCCTTATCATTCAAAGAATACAAAAATTACCGCTCCCAACACCCGACCCTCTCTCAGAGAGGTCCTTCAATAAATGAAAACATAATGTCGGAATGGATGAGCCCTCCTTTAAATGGAGGGCTCATCCAAACCGGGGTGTTGGGAGACACCGAAGAAAAAAAAGCAACCAAAAGGTTGTAATGTCTTCTATCAGTAGAGATATTTATGACTTTTTAGTTGCTGCTTTTTCTTCGGTTGTTTTTTTTTTTAATTTTGTAATTTTTTGTTTCGGTGTTTTTTTTTTTAATTTTTTAATTTTTTTTTAAATATATATTACGTTGTATATTTGATTTGTTTTGATCTTTTTTAATGAAAATTTTAATTGCTTTCTCACCAATTAAACCTGACTTCAAATTTGAAGCCCTCTTAAATACCCCTCCCTAAATTCTAAAGTCGAAAGTTGAATTGATTCATTATCCAATTATCATAATATAACGATGCTGCATTCTTTTGTTAAAAACAATTATTTGGTATGTTTCATTTATTGAACTCACTGCTTTTAAAATTTACCAAAACCCAAGGCAATATATTTAGCTATATAAATACAATTTATTTATCTCGATTCCATTCTTTATCTTTTATGTTTATAGTTTGGCTCCTTAAAGCATTTTATGTTTGTTTTTTTTTATTTTGAGTATTTTAAATCCGTTGTGATGTCTTTTAAATTAAACTAAAGTTTACTAAAAGCCAACATAAAAATTACGTTTTTAAACAACACCAAAAAGAACAGCTGCATCCCTACAGCAACTGCTGTAGTATCACAATAGGTTACCAAAAGCAGGTATACTGTTTTCCAGTTGTTGTTGTTTTTTTCATATATATCTACTTATCTATATAATACTATAGTACGACTGTTTATATCTCATTCATTTTTTTTTCTTTATCTTTAAGTGTTAATAATTTTATTCTTTGAATGAGATTAGTTAAACAAGTTGGCTTTTCATTAAAGATATTGGTTTCAAAATTGAACACCATTGGCAAAATGCTTACAAAATTAGGTAGTTTTTAAAAATCTGTTTTCTATTTAATACACTTTTTTTTAAATATACTTTTTAAATATACTTTTTTAATATACTTTTCAATAACAATCCTACTAATATGGAATCACGTAGCTTTTTAAATATGTTTAATTGTTGTCCCTATCGTTAATAAATATTTTAAATTATTTGATATGGTTTTCTTTACAATAGGCTATGCTTGGCTCCACGGTGCTGTAAATGGTGGCTTCAACTTTGTTTTTTTAAGAAAAATGTGTTTTATATATGCTTCTGTTTTAAAATATTTTTGTTACATATTTAACTATATATCATGTAAATAAATTTCTTTTAAAGATATGTAAACTTGATACTTGCTTTTTTACGGATTTTCAAAAAGTGAACAAAGGTTTAAATATATTTTTTAACTGTCTTATATGATTTTATTAATTCTATTATAGCTGAATAATTACTTCAAAAATATTGAGTAAAATCCAATTGCTTTTATTATTAACCTGATCTATACAAAAATTAATGAAATAAAACTAATAATTTAACGCCAAGTTAAGGCAAAATGTATTCCGGACATTTTATAAAATTAGTATAAATATGGATTGGATGTATGCTGAAATAAATATGTTGATACACGTTAGCTATTAAAGTAAATTTATATATTCCTTTATTGTTTTTTTATAAACAAGTTTCTGCTGAATTACTAATTAAAAAAAAGGTTGGTTTAATAATAATCTTTATCATAATAATATAGGATCCGTATGCAGGGCTAAAAGGGCCCTTTTCGGAATTGCGATATAGTTTTCAGCTTATAGTTTTTCCGGATATCCAACTTCTATGCCTACAAGTTTGGGTGTAATATTTTAGATGTTTTAAAAATATTTAAAAAGTATATTAATAACACTAAAAAGTTTAGGTGCGATAGTGACATATTTTTAAACTCTTCACTCAGTAAAATAAAAAGTTTAAAAAAAAAAGAAACGACTCAGCTTAAAGAAAAATTAAGAGTAGAATATATTCCCAATATTTACTCAAACAATTTTACGGAATTTGAAAATTTGACATCGATATTCTGTGCATATAATTCAAGTCATTTTTAACTACTACATGGTTGTGATTTGCGCATTCAATGTCTGAACATTGCAAAAGAAATGGTTAACTTTATCTTTAATGAAGCTAAGAGTTCTCTTAAACTAAGAAGCCAAGAAAAATAAAAATGAGCTCAACTAAAAAAATGTATAAATAAATTTATATTTCATTAGAGAAAGTAAATGAAGATCAAATTGTTACTAATGATTTATTTACTACTAACCCGTATTACGGGTTGCTTTCTGTATAAATAAATTTATATTTTATTAGAGAAAGTAAATAAATATCAAATTGTTGGTAATGATTTATTTACTACTAACCCGTATTACGGGTTGCTTACTGCTAGTATAAGTTAATAGCAAAAGTTAAAAACTGCCAAATTTTCTCTGAAAAATAAAATGGAGATAATATTTGCTATATCACTACTCCCCAAGGTTATCTGGTAAAAATCTTTTTTTTCATTGCTTAGTGTATCTCCAGCTGTTGAAAATAACCTTCCAACTTAAGATGATGTTGGTGGAGAGGTGAGAAACCTTTTGTAATTTTTTTGCAAGGGTCAGCTTGACATCGCTTGAATTAATAAGCAAGCTTGTTTTCTTAAGATAAGCGTTATCAGTCAAAGTGTTATGCGCACTGCAATGGCTTGCTTATTTGCAGTTTTAAAATTTTTAAGAACCAGATGGGAATGCGCTATTTAGTAAGGGTGTACTGTATTGAAAATGTTGATTTCTGGCCAGAACTGGATTTGCCAGAATTGTTAAAAAAGTTCAGGTCGGAACGAGAATATATATATATATATATATATACTTAACTGTTAAGTTAAGTATATATATATATATATATATATATATATATATATATATATATATATATATATATATATATATATATATATATATATATATATATATATATATATATATATATATATATATATATATAGTAACTAAAAAGGTAAGCAATTTCCAAACAATGGGCTTAAAATTTCATTTAGATATAAAATATTTTGTGAAAATTCTCAATAACTACTTTTCTAAATTAGATAAAAATTTAAAATCTTTCAAATTTTTTGGCTTTTTGGTACGTTTTTTAACCAAAATTATGCTTTTTACAGAATTTATAAATAGTATTAAAACCGAAATTTTGGTATAAATTCAAATTGAATTGATACCAAAATTCATCCGAAACCAGAACCGAAACAAAATTTTGGTTGACCACTAATTAGCATAGTAAATATAACTGCATTAGTAATAAATAATCTATAAAAAAATTTTTTTTGAAAATCCAGTAACAAAATACCTCTCCAAAAAAGACCAATTGATAAGCTGCTATCAGCATCTATTCCAAGAATTACAGTGTGACCATTATTTGTTAGATAATAATTAGTATTGTTAAACAAAGTTGAATAATTGAAAAGTATAAGAGGTGTGAAAGCTGTACTGTAGAAAGCTTGATTCTCTATTATGTTAATAGGAGATTGTCTTTTTCCATTGCAAATAGGATGATCATATCCCCAATACTGTGGACCTAAAAATACAATTATAATTTGTAAATTTATAATTAACATTTTGACAACTTCTATTAACAATTTCTTATACTTGGGAAATAAGCGCAGGTAAAACAATAAAAAATACTGCAGATAATATTTATAAGATTTAATTTGGTGTTTTTATAGGTAAACACATGGTAGTGAGTCTTACATAAAGATTGAACTTAATAACTTAAAAACCTATTACATCCAAGTGGAAAAAAGTTGAACAAAAAAAAATTTTAATTCTTGTCAGTTTATATATATAAAAATATATTAAAAGGGCCTTTTAGAAAAAAATGAGACTGAGACTTAATTGAATGTAGATGGCTAGCTCTATAGAGAAGTGCCCAATATAGTATTTATAGAAAATAGAATAAGAAGCAACATTATGACGATGTGACAATGGTTAAAGGTTGGTAGCAAGAGCAGGTCCAACTATGTTTACAATGCGTTTTCGCATTGTAAACATAGTTGGAATTTTCGCAAGAAAGTGGTGAGTACAATAAAAAGATGCCGTCTAGGCATGATGATCAATAAATAAGTTTTAAATGATCAATAAGTTTTTGTTCACTTTATTTATGCTTTTATAAATTTTTATGCTTCCATAAATTCATTAATTATCTGATTTAAAGTGTTAAACTTTGGGCATTAGTATATTAGTATTTTGCTTAATAAAATGCAAACATTATCAAATACCAGCTTCAAAAATTAATGCAAAAAATATTTATTTTACATCACATAAAAAAATTCCTAACAATAGTAATAAATAAGGAAAATTCAACTTTTAACACATTGTCAAAGGAAACTATGTCAAAGATTGAATTAAAGCAATCACAATGATCTGATTGGAATTTGCAACCATGAAAATATTTATTTAAAAGAAATCCTAGATTTTTAAGTATTAAAAAACACAGCATGTAAAACTAAAAAGCTTTTTCAATTAAAATTTTTATTCACCTCCACAAGGCCAAGAAAGCCAATAAAGACAAGGAGGATAAATTATTATGGTTATAACCCACTCTTAAGTATTTAACTCAGAAAAACGAATCTCAATTAACAAGGTCACTGTGCAGAAACAAGTTAAGGGCGGTATTAAAATGATTGAAGGACAATCATTAAAAGATAAAAATACTCTAAACCAAGTTCAATAAAACTATGCTATGACAAAAATCAATTTTTTTACTTTTTTAGTCTTCAATAAAAATATTACTTAAAATAATATTATTTAACATGGATCAATAAAATTATTCTAAGAAAAAAAAACTTATTTAAAACCAATAACCAAATTAGCATCTAAAATTTTAAAAAGTTAAATATAATGAAAAAATATATTGAACAATGAACTTATATTTAAAAAATACTAAACAAATATATAATAACAGTTTGAAACTCATAAATTTATTAATAAATATTTTATTTTATTCACATTGAAAAACCTGACTGAAAACAAGTCAAAGGCCTTTTCTATAAAACAAAATTTGTTTATCTCAGAACACACAACACAGTTTGTGTTTTAACAGCTTTAGGTTTTCTATCAGTTTTGCTGTGCTATTTAAAGCATTTAAAAAATTGACGCAGCTTCTGCTACTAATATATACATGGATGCCACCAAACTAATTCCTAATTTACGCAGTTATGCCAACACTCCTCTACTTCATTCAATAAATCTATAGTTTTGTTTTTTAACAAAAAGTAATATATTAAAATTTAGCTCATGGATTTTTGGATGACATTTTTCTTTGGAAAGCAAGCATGAAACTCAAAAGCGAATAAATTTATATATTATTATACATTAAAAAGCTCAATTATTTCAGCATCATAAAAAAAAACTTTGTATTAAAAAGTATTGTTGCAACTTATATAAAAAACTAAACAAATGTTAAAATCTATTCCTTATTAATACATCATTCAAAACACCACTAAGTTTAAAGTTTTTTTTTTAACTATTTTTGAAATGATTACCTGCAAATACATTTCCATAGTAAACTTGTGGCTTAACCTCTATATACATCAAAGGATATATATATATATATATATATATATATATATATATATATATATATATATATATATATATATATATATATATATATATATATATATATATATAAATATATATATACACACACATATATATATATATATATATATATAAATATATATATATATACACACACACATATATATATATATATATATATATATATATATATATATATATATATATATATATATGTATATATATATATATATATATATATATGTATATATATATATATATATATATATATATATATATATATATATATATATATATATATATATATATATATATATATATATATATATATATATATATATATATATATATATATATATATATACACACACACTTTAAAAAGTTTGTCATGAATATATCACTAAAAACCTCAACAAAAAGATCAAACATCTTTATTTTTAACCTCAAGTTTTTTAACTTAAAAGGGCCTTTTAGAAAATAAAAATTTTACTATATTTTTAATTTTTTTTTTTTAACATTTTCAATTACAACAAGACTCTAAGCAACCACTATAAGAATTAAAAACACATAAGGTCTCATAAAAAGGCTCCTCCTGAGGAGGAGCCTATTCATGAGACTTTATGTGTTTATTTTGTTTGCTTGCTTTTCACAACCCTTACACTTTATTTGGAATCAATTAGAGTCCACATTCAAAATTTCACATTGTGCTCATATGAAAGCAATTTTTTAGAAATATAAATTTCAAGCCTTTCTATATCCAGGACATGACAAATATTTTTTTTTTTAAATGAACATTGACATTTGTATCTTCATTTAATAACGAATGACTAATTTAAGAGAAACATGTCAAATTAGGGAGAATTATTTTCAAATAAATTTTATTCTATTTAATAAGTTATTCGATATATCAAAGATAACCATTTTTGATATATTTATTAACGAATTGAATTTCATCAATTTTCAAAACAATTTTTTACACATTTGCGCACAATTTTTTCAAAACAATTTTTCACATGAGTGCATGCAAATTAATGATTAATAATATGCAATGATTGTGAACTGTTAAAATTCCAATGATACAAAACAGTGAATTTTTCTCAATTTAGTTCATTAAACTTATTAACTAAAAAACATTAAGATATTAAAATTAAAGAAACTAAAAAAAACATAAATTGCAAAATGACGTCTTATTAACATTTATATAATAATTTTTATGTTTATATAAATGCATTTAAGATTTGCCAGAACTTTTTGATTTAAAGCCTTCCAAATGTCTACTACCAACTGCTGTGTCAATTCAATTTTTGACATGTCTAAGAGTCAATTTATGGTGTTGGCATTTAATGCAGTTCATACAAAAACAACTGCGTTCAAAACTTGCAGCTGAAGTGCTGATGGTTAGCATCTCTAACAAAACATTTATACTTGCCAATTCAGCTTCATTTTTCAGCAAGATATCACTTTAAATCCTCAATAGTGAATATGTCCTTAGTTTAGAAACATTCTCCTTGAATAAAAGGCACTGCAATACATATAATTTAGAAGTTTCTGAGCTTATCATCTTATTATCCTCAAAAAAGTTGCAAAGACTTTTTATTTCACTAAGCCCTCTTTTTTTTTTCTCTAGCAAACCTGTAAATAATTTGGTCAGTTTTGATAATCAAAGATTGTGGTGAAGGATTTAAAAGCTCTTGATTAAAATCGCAGCGTTTATCTATATATTGTTTTGCTCTACCAATAATTTTAATAAAATATTTTTTTTATCAAAATAATCTTTTAGTTGTTTCTAACAATCTTTATGTCATTAATTCTCTTTAAATCTTTTTAATGCTATTAAATCAATACCTTTGTAGATTAATTGTTTGTTTTTTACTTCTAAACTATCTAGGAAACATCCAATATTCGAGCCTGGATTAACTGTAACATGTCTAGTAAAACAATTCTTGCATCAACATTACACAAAATCTCACAAATTTTTTTCTTTTTGAAACTTTAAAAATAATATTTTTAATGATATAACAATATCTTGAATAAAATGTAAATAAAATAAAAATTTCATGAAACACAAAACAGTTTTTTATAAATCATAAATAATAACTCTAATAAGTTTCAAGCAATTTTAACCCCCATTTTTCCCAGCTAGCTAACCAATAAATATTCTTCCAAAAATATTCATTGGCTTCTCCCAAGCTCTTTAAATTCTTTATCTAAAAAAGCCATTTCTTTCAGTTCCTTTCTTTGCTTTGATGAACAAACTATTGATGTTGTCATCAAACTTCTTTAAATAAATATCAAACTTTATACTAGGGTTTTTATTTCGTATTTTAGTTTAAGCACCAGCTTTATAAGGATATTACAAATGTACTATCAAAGTTAACATATACAGATTTTGGATAATTTTGTTTAAATATAAATCTTGATTCATTTTTTCTGTTGTTAAATTTTTTTAAAACAAATTTTATTTTATTTAATATACCATCCACGTCAACTCTCAGTGGTGAGTTAATATTTTATTATAGTTAATGGAAATACCATTTTTACAACAAATCTTAAAAAAACTGTTTCTAGTTCAGTGTAAGTCTTATTAGTAAGATACCGCCAGATAAAATTGCAATAAAATGAGCAATTAATACATCTAAGTCGCATTTTAAGTCAGACCAAATAGGCAAAAAAAAATTTTTGCAAGCTTCCATTTGGCTTTTGTAGTTCGCACAGCTGAGGAAATTTTTTAAATGCAAGGTCCTCTTTAACAACAAAATATGATATCCAAAAAAGTCTGTCAAATTCTTCTTAGTAATTATCATAAGTTTTTAAAATATAAGTTGATACAGTTTTCTCAAGACTTGGAGCTATATTGTAAAGGTTCTCTCGATATTTAGAAATAAAGGCATTATGCCCATTATCTTTATTGTGGCATAACAAGTATGTTCTTTTCCAAAATTTACATCCTATTGCTACTGAAATGGCTAATATTTGGATACTTTTGGCTAACCCAACAGGAGAACATTCATTCAGGGTGGCCAGCGACTTTGTACAATTAAATTCCCTGACTTTTCTCTGACTCAATTATATTTTAAAGTTTGAGTTTTTAAGTTTTATTGTTTGGGAGTAAGTAAAAAAACCTTTAACAAAAATTAAATGTTGAAAAAAAGATTTTTCCCCTGATTTTTAGAAAAAAAATTAAAAATCCTTGACTTTTCCCTGATTTCCCTGATTTCCAGTTGGCTGACCACCCTGTCATTTGATTTGTCAATATGAATCCAGTTTAGTTGTTGCCCATGTTTTTATTACTTGGCGGCATTCCATTTAAAGTGTTCCTATATCATTTGGCCATATATTCAATTTTCCTTATGTCATAACACAATTCAAGTCATTGCACTTTTTTTTTGCATGTTTAGTTTCTCCTTTGCATTTAATGATATGCTCCACTGTACCATCTTTCATTAACATTGAGAAAATGCTTTGTTGTTTTGACTTTTTAAAACCTTTAAAAGTAATAATATAATATATATTTAATAATAAGTTAATAAAAATATCATATTATTGGTGTTGTTAAAAGCAAAATTATAACTTTAATAAACATAATTCTATATATTCTATTAGATTATGTATTTTTTAGCAAAACTTAAAAATTATTTTAAAAACTTTTGAAAGTATTTTTAATATGCAAACAAACATTACTTCACTTTAAGGAAAACAAGAAAATTTAAAAAGTAAGCACACTATTTAAAAAAGCAATCATAGTATTTCAACATGGTTTTTATTAAAGTAATTGCAAATGCATTGATTTTAAGTAAAACTTTGCATGCTTTTGTAAACCAATGCAAAAACCATTTTAAAACATAATTACTTTCTTCATTTTCATTCTATTGAACAAAGTAATAAAGTAAAGTTTCATTCAAAGTCTTTGAAAATGCATTTAAAATTTTAGTAACTAAGCGTTTTTTATTGTAAATATGTGTTACTTCTATTATCTATATTATTGTGAATATGTGTTATATATTACTTTATCATTTTGAAAAAAAATTGATGAAGTAGTGCTTTCGTTTTGAAAAATTTTAGGTGAATGCCAAAGTTTGCATAAGTAAAAGTAACAAATGTGACGTATGTTTAATTGTCTTTTTTTAACAAACATTTGCATGTTTGTAAATTTTTTCGCTATAAGATATAAGGGCACTCTTTATATTACATATTACATTCAAAATTCAAGATTTCCGCTGTGTGAAAATACTCAACACTTTTAGCAGCTTATCTTTTATGTCTCACATTTTCACTATTAAAAATAAACCACCCTGGTAATCAAGCCTTATACTCCTTAGAAAATAACTTATATATTTTTAATACTATTTTTTACATAATATGCAAAACAAGAGACACTACTTTTAAAAAGTTATTACAAAAATCACAAAAGCTATAATTAAATAATAAAACTTACTAAGAGATATTATGTATCTACCATGTCTACTTTTACAAAAGTTGTCATTATGAGCTCTTTCCAGACTAAAGATAATATTCCCAAAATAATCTAAACTCTGATACATACAAAATAAATTAGCATCATACAAAGATCCAGATAATTTATAGTCAACTTTAAAATGCATTATCTTATACTTCTCAATTTTATTTTCAGCAAAAAGGAACTATACCGCTTCACGAAAATTAATACCAGAGTTGATATGGTCCCATTTTTGAGGATTGGTATTAACTTCTTGAATATAGGTAGGCAAATTCGTAACCATCAATATAGATACTGAACATAATACTTCATTCGCAGATGGATAAAACAACTAGATTTCACAGTAAAATGTTCTTTACTGATATGCATTGTCCACATTTCTTGCTCTTGTCAAATAGAAATATGATACAAAAAAATGTAATAATACTTAATGACAAACAGATTCACTTGATAAAAAAGGATTTAACAAAAGATGTTAGTCTAACTACTCTAAGATGAAAATTTCACTTTGTTTATTTTATACTTCAAAATTTGTCTCATAGTAAGAGTTCTTCAAATAAAATTTGTAAGAAAATAGCTTGGTACATTTAAGTTACATCACCACTATAAAATGTTTACAAATTGCGAAAAAAAATTGCGAAAAGAAACCTCTTGCTTTTTGTTAAATTAGACAAATTTGAAGCCATTCTTTATAACATAGCTAAAGATATATTTTAATAATAATATTAATTTGGATTTGGAAAAAAAGTAAAAACAAAAATATAAATGCATTAAAAACTGACTGAAAAAATTATCAATGTCCACCAAAACTTAAATCGAACAGACAATCAATGAAGTGTTCTTAATTTCAATCACCAAGCATAAAGATAAGTTTTAGTTGACCCAAAACAAGTTTATAAAAAGTCTTTTTTTGACCCAAAAAAAGACTTTTTATAAGTTAAAGATTAAATAGAAAAAAGCTTGTATAGAAAAAATTTAATAGTATTTTAAAACTAGTTAATTTTGAAAGTTTTTATGCGGAAATTGTGTAGAGAATGATTAAACTTATTTTAATGCATTTATAATATTTTTATATTAAGTTCTATATTAAGTTCAGGCATGTGAAAAAATTTGTTTCTTAATAAAATATGTAAAATATATAAACTTCAATAATTTTAATCATGTACTGCCCCTCCCCTTTTCTTATCTAACGTCTCAGTGTGTAAAAATTTTATTTCAATCATTTCTTTATAGGGTTTTTAATTTTAAAAAAAAAAACAAATGTTTGGAAACTTTAATCCTGGCAGTCACTGTAGTTTCCAGAGAACATAATTTTTACTTTTTAAAAACTATATAAATTACCTGTATCAGACAATAGGCTGTATTCCCAATCTCCATGATGTGCACTTTCGTCTAAAACATAAAATAAAATTAAAATGTTTGCTTTAAAAAAAATTTTGTCAAATTTTAAGTAATAGAAAATTTTAAACAAACTAGATTTAAAAAATTTACAACCCTCGGAATTAGGAAAATTGAGGTCAGCAATAAACTGCCAACTTCAAACAGTTAGAGATCCGCATCAGGTTACCAGAAAAAAATTTATACAAAGGGGTTACTTTTGTGTAAATTAAAAACATAGAAACAAGATAGTCAATTTTTTTTCGACACCAAACACTTTAAGGTTGGTAGTTAGGTCAGCATTGCCGAATGCTGTCCCTAATTCAGAGGGCTAAACTTATGATATCATTTGTGTTACAGTTTAGAAATGCTTTGTAAGTCATAATAGAATATTTTATTTAGTAATGTATAGGGATAGATGCTTAAATGTTATAATATTATTGATAAAAGAGGTACCAGTCAGATAAACTAATACAAGATTTTCTACTTCAGTACAAAGAGTACAATTTTGGCTTTGCGGTACAATGTTTTAAAAAGAACTTGTCGTTTCAGAATATATTTTTTAGAAACTGTGATAAAAAATTTAAAAATGCATCACTCCATCAGAGAAAATGAGATTGATAAAAATGGTGCCACCAATACTTAACTGTATGATCAAGCATAGTAAAACTATTAATAACAACACATACATACATACATAAAAAAAAAAAAACATAAATTGTAGGTAATAAAAATGTAGTAGTTGACTAGTGGTAGAACTTAAGGCTTATAACAAAATAGTTTAAATCCAATCTATGCCTCTGGAAATACTGCACTCAACATGTTTCTCTGCACAGCAGTCTCATTTAACAAGTTTTTGATTAGTGTTAAGAGAATATTAAATGTGATGAACAAAAAATTAAAAAAAAAAAAAGTAGCTTTCTTAACTGTAGCACTGGAACCGTAAAGTGCGGACAATTGATTTTGTTTAAAATGAAAAAAAAAATACTAAAAGTGTTTGAAATTGTAATTTTTTGAACATTATTACATTTCATACATATTACATTATTATATTATTTCCATTTACATATGTGTTGATAAAAAATAGAATGCTTAGCATACTTCTGTTTTATGAGATGGGAAATTAGGCTTTCCATTATGTATATTTTTAGTAAAGTATGTATGTATTAAATGAAAAAAAATGAACAATTTTTATTTAGAAAGTTGAAAACAAAAAAAGAAATTAGTCAATTTTATTAATTGCAGAAAAGTTGGAATTTTAAGTTTCTAAATTAATATAATTGATAAATGCCAATATATTTAGAGTGTTAGGCAGAAATAATTTTTTTACCAAATTTTTGCAATATTGGGAATATTTATTGTTATTGTTCTACAAAATATTGAGAATTTTTATTGAAATTATCCTGTTAATTAAAATAAAAAAAGTAAAAGTTCATTGAATTAACCATTGACCTGGTTAACACTCTGAAATTTATTATTATTGTTATTCCAATAAAAACATTTTCATTAAATTTATCATAATAACAAATTTTAACAAATCAATAAATTGTTGAAAGCGCATTGCTAGTTTCTTATAAAATTTATATAAAACACAAGTTTCTTATAAAAGTAATTATTATCAAAATTCCACAGAAGATTGCATTTATTTAATACACCAAGATATTTAATAACCCTATATATCAAAATAAATATCAAATAAAACATAGTTATTTATCATTAATATTGATTTTTGAAAACATTTAAACTGCAAAATTATTTATAATAAGTAATATTGTATATAATTAATATTCAATGATTTATAACTTTTTTCAATGATTATAATCTTTTAACTTCAATATTCAATGATTTATAACTTTTTTCACTTAAACTGACTTTTAACTTTTTTCAAAGCAAATGTAGCAGTAGAATGTTTTATTTGGTTATGTTACATGAGCTCCGAAACTTACACATATCATTTATCATAAAGTAACTTTATAACAACTGCCTAAAAAGCGGCAAGTCAGAAGAATTATTATTAATAATACATATAATCTTGTATATATTTATAACCATTATAAGAAATTTTAAATTAAACTTAACTAACTTTCTGAAAAAAGGTTTTTTTTTATTTATTTATTTTTTAAATTAGCATTATAATGTAATAATGAAAGAATGAGAATATGTGAAAAAGACAACTATGTAATGTACGATGTGATGTAAAAATACTGAGTATTTTTTTATTTCCATTTAGTTAATTTTTACATTAATTTCAAAAAAATCTGTTTTCAACATATTTGGGCCCCTATAATCATGGTACCTATGGATGCGGCCTAGTCAGACTATTGATACATCCCGCCCTGGTTATAGTTTTAGTAGACTTTCCTAAGATTTTTTAATTTTAATTTTTTGGAGAAGAATTCATACTTGGTTAGGACAAATGATTCCATTATTAATCTATGATTTAAATTTGACATAAGCATGAACATAGTTTCATTTGCAGTTCGCACAATGCCTGAATCTGCTATATCTGAAGTATGAAAAAATCCTGTTCATGCCAATGCAAAGTTTTAAAATTAAAAAGTATAAAAAAAAAGGAAAAATAAAAACTTTAAAAAACAACTTAAGAAAAAGCAATCACCATTACTATTAGAGAATAGATGTTAAATTATAAACAGTTCAACTATGTTATAGTCAATAAATAATTAAATTTATATTAAAAAATAATTTTGAACATTATCCCAATATATATTACATATTGCGTAGAAATATAGAGGTAGATACATAACAAGTTGTGTTAATAGTTTTAAAGTGCATTAATTGTAAGTCTTAACTTTGTTATCATGACAGAAACCTTCCAGACAAATTAAATCTTATAACTGTCAAGAATATGAAGATACTGCAGTGTACATTATGAAAGGTTTAAGAAATGACTTGACTAATACAATAAGACTTTTACAATAGAAAAGATATTATTAAAATATCAAGTCATCCAAAATTTCAATTTGATTGTACAGTAAAAATCTTTACTTATATGCATATATGTATAACTATGTATGTCTTGTATATATGTTATACTGTGTTTAAAAGAAAAGTCAGAGTAATTTAAGTATTTAAAAGCTTCTTTTGGTGTTTAATTATTTTCAAATAACTCTCATCTTAGTTTTAATTTTTATTTAATTTTTCCTATTCATATTACATTTTTACATTTTTACAGTTTTTTATCAAAATTACTATTATAATTGGGTAATTTCATTTAACCAGCTTATGTGATGACATATGCACCATTGCCCCAACAAATGACTATTACAGTAGAAGCTTACCAGTGTTTTCATACTTAGCATTTTACAGCTTCATACTTTAAAATACATATACTCTTATTTAAAAAATTATATACTTCAATCATTTTTTGATTCATTTTTATATTGTAAAATTTAATCAACCCAAAAGATCTTCTGCTTGAATCTTACAATTGATATATTTATCTTACAGTTTAGATTTAATTAAGTTATATATAACTTATTTAAATCTAAGTGATTATTATTTTTATCTTATTTTGCAATATCTTGCAAGTTATCTTACAACTGTTATATACAATAATTATATATATTATATATATATATAATATATATATATATATATATATATATATATATATATATATATATATATATATATATATATATATATATTATATATATTATATATATATATATATATATATATATATATATTATATATAAATATATATATATATATATATATATTATATTTATATATTATATATATATTATATTTATATATTATAGATATATATTATATTTATATTATATATATATATATATATATATATATATATATATATATTTATATATATATAAATATATATATATATATATATATATATATATATATATATACATATATTAATAATATATATATATATATATATATATACATATATATATATATATAAAAATATATATATAATATGTAAATATAGTATATATATATATATATATATATATATATATATATATATATATATATATATATATATATTATTGTACATATATATATAGTATATATATCTAGTACATATATATATATATATATATATATATATATATATATATATATATATATATATATATATATATATATACATATATATATGTATATATATATATATATACATATATATATATGTATACATATATATATGTATATATATATATATATATATATATATATATATGTATATAATATTGTTATATATTATATTAGTTATATATTAAGTTATATACAAAAGTATATATTATATATATATATATATATATATATATATATATATATATATATATATATATATATATATATATATATATATATATATATATATATATATATATATATATTATAAATATTATATTAGTTATATATTAACTTATATAGTTATATATATATAATTAAAGTATGGACTGAAATATAAACAATAACTAATCATTAGTTATTGTTTATATTTCAGTCCATTAGACATTAGTCTAATGTAAATTATTTAAACAACTTGCCAATAGCAAACCCTTTGAAAAAAAGCTGATTAATAATAATACTAAAAACCAAGCTATTTATCATGTTGTTATTATAATATAATGATACTCTTATTAAAGTACATCAAATATTTAGGAAGATTAGGAAGACCGAATTTTTGTTTTGAAATCAGTTTTGTCGAAAATTTCAATTTGAACAGATACCAAAATTTCGGTTTCTGTACTTTTACGTACGGAGCAAAACTCCGGTTAAAAAAACATACCGAAAATTTATTTAAAACTATTTAATTTAAAAAAATAGTTATTTTTGACAATTTTCACTTAATCTTTTTTTGAAATATAACATGTCTCATCTAATTGAAAAAAATCGGAACAACTTAGGACTACCTTGAGCACTACTAAAAAACCGTATATGCCCAGATTTGAATTCCCTGACAGTATTTACCCATATATAGAT